GGGAATGAACCCCTGACTTTAACGTAGGGTGAGGGGGAATGAACCCCTACTATAACGCAGTGTGTTGGGGAATGAACCCCTGACTATAACGTAGTGTGAGGGAAATGAACGCCTGACTATAAAGTAGTGTGAGGGGAATGAACCCCTGACTATAACGTAGTGTAAGGGGAATGAAACCCTGACTATAACGTAGTGTGAGGGAATGAACCCCTGACTTTAACGTAGGGTGAGGGGAATGAACCCCTGACTATAACGCAGTGTGAGGGGAATGAACCCCTGACTATAACGTAGTGTGAGGGAATGAACGCCTGACTATAAAGTAGTGTAAAGGGAATGAAACCCTGACTATAACGTAGTGTAAGGGGAATGAAACCCTGACTATAACGTAGTGTGAGGGAATGAACCCCTGACTTTAACGTAGGGTGAGGGGAATGAACCCCTGACTATAAAGTAGTGTAAGGGGAATGAAACCCTGATTATAACGTAGTGTGAGGGAATGAACCCCTGAATATAACGTAGTGTAAGGGGAATGAACCCCTGATTATAACGTAGTGTAAGGGGAATGAACCCCTGACTATAAAGAAACATAAAGAGAATAAACTCCTGACTATAGCACAGTTTAAGGGGAATGAATTCCTGATTATAACGTAGTGTAAGTGGAATGAACTCCTGACTATAACGTAGATTAAGTGGAATGAACCCCTGACTATAACGTTGTGCAAAGGGAACAAACTCCAGACTATAACGTAGTGTAAGGGGAATGAACCCCTGACTATAACGAGATATAAGGGGAATGAACTTCTGACTATAGCATAGTGTAAGGAAAATGAACCTCTGATTATAACGTAGTGTAAGGGGAATGAACTCCTGACTATAACGTAGATTAAGTGGAATGAACCCCTGACTATAACGTTGTGCAAAGGGAACGAACTCCAGACTATAACGTAGTGTAAGGGTAATGAACCCATGACTATAACGAGATATAAGGGGAATGAACTTCTGACTATAGCATAGTGTAAGGAAAATGAACCACTGATTATACCGTAGTTTAAGGGGAATGAACCCCTTACTATAACGTTGTGCAAAGGGAACGAACTCCAGACTATAACGTAGTGTAAGGGTAATGAACCCATGACTATAACGAGATATAAGGGGAATGAACTTCTGACTATAGCATAGTGTAAGGAAAATGAACCACTGATTATACCGTAGTTTAAGGGGAATGAACCCCTGACTATAACGTTGTGCAAAGGGAACGAACTCCAGACTATAACGTAGTGTAAGGGCAATGAACCTCTGACTATAACGAAATATAAGGGGAATGAACTCCTGACTATAGCATAGTGTAAGGGAAATGAACCTCTGATAATAACGTAGTGTAAGGGGAATGAACTCCAGACTATAACGTAGTGTACGTAAATTCAGGGGAATGAGCTCCGGACTAAACAACATTAAATGATTACCGGTGAATGCTTTGTTAATAGGGTATCAACTTTACTGTACAGTCGCTAAAATTATCATGTAGAAAGATGAAACGAAAAGGATATTTCATAATTCATACACTTGACCAGCTAACGAAAAAGTTCAAAGGTCTATACCATTTTTATACAGTAGTTTACAGTTGTTTTGTATCACATTGTGGTTATTTTGGGAGTATCGTGCTTTTTGGTGTCTCTTTTTGAAAACAAGTTTTTATTTTCCTTTCTCTCACATTTACTTTGCACTCAAAATTCATTTATTTGAACGCGAAGCAATTTGAGCTTAACCCTTTTTATATACTTTTTAATGCAGCATCAGATGAAAGAAAAAAATGTTTAAAAATATGACTTATAAAGTTTTAAAAGTCAGAACGAAGGAGTTTTGAACATGTTGACCTGTTCTGTAATATTTTTTTGACCTTGACAGTTCAACGTACACAAGTCGGGACTATGTTTACGACATGAAGAAATCAAACAATCGAACTGGCAAGATTTACAAATCAGTTATTTATAAAAAACGACTTATGAATTCATTTTCGTGCCATTTCTAATAATGTAGGTCTGAGAAAAAATCAATACGACCGCCTGATCATGTCGTTAATAAAAATATAAAAAAAATATAATAATAATGATAATGTAGAATTGACATTTTTAAGATTGTAAAGAATACAAACTATTGCAAACTTTGACTAAAAATCATAGTTTTGACATTGTTAGGTATGCAAATTCAGTATTACTAACCTTTTTTTAAAGCGTGCGTACAAACAAACTGAAATGTGTACCTTTGCTAGCTAGAGAATAAAAAAGATATATTTTATAAAAACGTCGCGACGGCTGAGATGCCGAGGTGAAATAACTGTTAACTGTCATTTCATTTTAAATTCCTCACCTACAAAAACTTGACAGTTTAATGTCTTAATTTAGAAACTAAATATTATGTTTGTTCACGAGTTTAACAGTAACGTCTGAATATGAAACATATACAGTCAATATGTACTACAAACACACACAGGGATAAGACGCTGTGACTACCGCTACAGCCCCCCCCCCCCCCCCCCGCCCCACCCTGCCCTCCCTCCAATCTCTGTTACAACCCCCCAAAAAATATGATTTAAAGTCAATTCCCACATTTTAGTAATCATAACTACAATAATATGACACTATTACACAATTTTCATTATTCCTTTATAGTTTAACTAATACTGCATGTATAGTGGGGAGGTGGTAGCGGTAGGGGATAATATCAGAACACAGCGTCTTATGCCTGTGCAAAGAAAAACATGATCAAAGCGTACTTTTTCAACTCTTTAATCAAAATAAAATTCCAGCATTTTCTTCCAAATACAGTAAAACATGACCCCGAAGACCAGTCAGTCGAAAGAGGAATGAAATTTGGTCTTGTAGTTTGTACCATATTTAGGTAAAATACTTTTGACATATTTACCCCATTTGCAAAATTTATTCAAGTATAATCTTGTATACATATTTGAATGTACATGTTTATAGATTCTCGTATAAAGAATGTTTCTGTACTAAAAAAGCAAATGTGATAAAATGTGACGCGTTTCTGTTTAAGATTGGCAGATATAGGTCTATCTGACATATAATAATTATCATTACGAAGATAATAAAAATATACGTTATTATCCTTCTGATCAAATGAAGGGGGGGGGGGAGTGAGAGAGAGAGAGAGAGAGAAAATGCGCGCTTTGCTGTAAAAATGTTCGCATATTAATTATTTATTTACATGTATTTAGAATTCAAGGTTGCTCTTTTACAATTAGATGAATATATATTTCTAATATTGTATTACATATTGACATTAATTTCTTTTTTTTATGTCAAATTGATAGATATTTATTGGGTTACGTAGGCGGACCTTTTTTGTTGTTTGTCTATGCTCATTATGGTTGTCTGCACACAGAAAAAATGAAAAAATTGTGCAACACTTTAACGAGTTTTCAGCCAGGGGGAGTAATTAGAACTACATTTCATATATGTTTATGTAACTATATATGTTTATAAAAACCAGATATATTTATGATTAATCAAGGAGACTTATCTGATTTTTTTTGTCTTCCCTAAGATAAAAAGTATTACATTGATACGCCAGTCAAAATTATTATTATAAAAGTGTACTGTTCGGCATGAGTTACGGTTCTTGATCTTGCTATCATTGCCAAGAAAATTTTGACCAGCGCACTATCGAGAGTTGCCGACAAGTTATTAAATGAACTTTGAAAAAACTGATTCGATAAACATGTGAAACCTTTAATGTTCATTTTATATTTTCTGCAAATTTAAAAATCCTCATTTCATAAATTTATTATTATTTTTTATGAGTTCAAATGTTTAGATTGTTGTAAAAAGATATGTATAAGAGAATAAATATTTATTAGAATATATACTTATAAATGAAATATTGAGAAATATTGATGAAATAAAATGCGTATTTTCATTTTCCGTATTTTCACTGTAAAAATTTATTTTTCACTGCAGTGAAACATATTTTCCGTATTTTCACTGATGTCTTGCCGGACTACTTTCTTTTAAATTCTGCCAGTACACAAAATTTAAGGGAAAGTCTTTCAAATTTTATTGCAAAAAAGAAAAAAATATATATAATAAACAGAAAATTCAAGTTTTTTCTATAAATACATGATTTATTTTCATCTTGTGGCATGAAAATTACCATATTTCACTCGTGGCTACCGCCACTCATGAAATATTTATTTTCATACCACTCGATGAAAATAAATCATGTATTTATAGAAAAAAACTTAAATATCCTCTATTTATTATGAATTCTGATATGGCTATTAGGTATCAAATACACATGCACACCCGAAATAAGTATTTAACGTGTAACAGATATTTTCTTTTCTGTCAAACAGAGTCGGAATATATGTTTATATAAGTTAAAAGTAATATTTTATGCGTTTCAATCTGTTATGTTATATAAGTTTCAAAATTTATATTTTGAAACCAATAATTGTCGTTTTTTCACTATACGTAAACCAAGCAGAGATATTCAGACGTACAAGCGCCATTGGCATTAACATAATACAAAAAGTTATCCTTTAAAAAAATATTAAAAATTAAAAATGAATAAATAAAAAATGATAAAAAATATAAATATAAGAAATCTAGAACACTATACGATATACGATCTGAATTTTTATCGGTTAATGACAAGCCCTAAAGTTGAAGAATTTTTTTTCAAGTCAAAAGTATTTTCTATAAATAAACCATGTTTGTAGACAATACCCATTCTGAATACTATTCCATAAACCATTTAATACTTGTATATAAGTACATCTACACACAAAGTAACAATATCACATTGTTTTCGGAATCTGATAAAAATCGTTAAGAAAAAAAAGACACTTGTTCTACATGTACCTATAAAATTAAAATAAAAAAACAAACCCAAAACAACAACACTTTTTTTCCATTTCTGAAAAAAGGAAGAGAAATAATCCAAAGTGAAATAAATAAAAAAAATCTCAGAAATATACGTACATCGTCGTTACAGTAAGTCCTCCGGTTATTTTGGGCCGAATGCTAGTTAATGACGAGGCAAGGGCAATAAAAGTTACCGATTTACTCGCCTACTGACATAAACTTAACGCTACGGAACGCTATAGCTACCGTGTGATTTCACTTTTTAAAGTAACGTTTTCTTGTTACAAGTTCTCTTCCCTACCCCATTGCTACCCCACCACCCCATAAACGCCACCCCCTTTCAATAAATTTAGATGTTATATAAACGATTTTGAGCTGCGCGAGATATTTATCACGTAATTGAACGTTTGACGTTACCTATCGACATTTGCGTAATAATCAATTTTTACGAAAAATGTGACGTTATATTTAGACGTTACGGCCAAATGCAACAAAACTTTATTGAATAAAAAGCGATGAATAAAGGAAGTGGATGATTTTCTTGAATGGGTCTGGTTGTCGTCTGGTCATTTCTGTCTCATATGTACATGTATGTCAGGTAAATTACACGTATGTTTTTTATAAATATTAATAAGTGCATGCTTTATTTTCAGTAATATTATTTCATAACGTACGAATTGAAATCCGAGAGTTGAAGCACAAAGCGCTGTATGAAGTAACAAATATTGTGGGTAAAAAAACTGTAACACTTTTTAAAATGCACCGTAAAACTATTTAAGTAATAAGGTCCAAAATTGACTTGGGTATTGCAATTTAACACTTGCTTCTTAAAAATTATAAAATTGGTCTTGGTGCATAAGACACATTCTTATTTGTAAGGGACCTTAGTGGCTGAAGGGGCCTCAGGGGCTAAAGAAACCTCATTGGCTGAAGGGGCCTCAGTGGCTGAAGGGACCTCAGTGGCTTAAGAGACCTCAGTGGATTAAGGGGCCTCAGTGGCTAAAGAGACCTCAGTGGCTGAAGAGGCCTTAGTGGCTTAAGAGACCTCGGTGGCTAAAGAGACCTCAGTGGCTGAAGCGGCCTCAGTGGCTAAAGAGACCTCAGTGGCTAAAGAGACCTCAGTGGCTAAAGAGACCTCAGTGGCTGAAGGGGCCTCAGTGGCTATAGAGACCTAAGTGGCTAAAGAGACCTCAGTGGCTAAAAGACCTTAGTGGCTAAAGAGACCTCAGTGGCTGAAGTAACATCAGTGGCTGAAGGGACCTCAGTGGCTGAAGGGGCATCAGTGGCTGATTTTTGTTTCTACCCACTGCAGTACTAATACCGTAAAGGATTTGGAAAGTTTTCATATAGGAAAGCTATATACCGCTAGATCACAATTTAGTCTTATCATTAGGAACCATTTCACTTTAGCCTGCTCTTTACGGAACTGTCTATTATAAATTTTGGGGGTATCAAGATGAAGATCTGGTAGAGCATTGTCATACTGTACGAAGGCGTATGCTTATCTGGATCTATACCCAGCAGAGTGTTGAACACTATTTGCAGATCGGTGTTTTGTAATACAAAATATTAGTCATTAGAAATTAAAGCGACACGAAAGTGAAATAGTACATACAGAATATAGGCTAACTGGCATGTTGTCTTTCAAATTGTTAATTTATATGGTAATATTATGTCAAATTGTTATAGATACTTGTATATATGAATGTTAAGCCTAGCCTTGTAGACTAAACAATAAGTGCATGTATGTATTATGATGTGTTTTACTTATACATGTTATATCTTATGTCATGATTGACAAGATTTGTTTATAAATTCCGGAAAAGGGAATGTTCCCCCCATGGAAACTGATGATATATTGTTAAGGAAACTAACAAGTCTCAAGAAAACTGATTTATTAGACTAAGTTTTTACAGGGAACTGATACTTAAATATATAAATGGAACTGATATATTGTTCTGAAACTGATATGTTATTAAGGGAACTGATATTTAGGGGAACTGATATATTGACGAGGGAACTGGTATATTGTCGAGGGAAAAACTATCATATTGACAAGGTTACTGATATATTGGCGATAATACAAAAATATTATAAAGGGGAGTATATTGTTAGGGAACTGATATATTGTTAAGGGAAATTATATTTAAGAATATTGATATATTGGTGAGGGAACTATTATAATGAAAGTGAAATTTGTTTTGAGGTTGATGCTAAAACATTTTCTCATGTTCTCATAAATGAAGCCGAAACAGGCAGAGGGTTGTGGAGGTGGTGGGATGGGGCGAGCGATGGGATGGGGCGAAACGAACGAGAGCAATAACTTTAATCTAGATGCTTCTTTCAAACTTAGTATGAAAATATAAAAAAGGCGAAATGTAATAACTGCTCTCAAAACATTTTTTTCTCCAGGACGAAGAAAGACAACTGTGTTTAGTACCGGTATGTCATTTCGTTTTATACGTAAGAGTAATGGAAATTGTATTGTGAGTTATCAATATATGTATGTTATTATGTTGACATATTGACTATGTTTCTATTTTTTTTTTATTTTTTGTTTTTGCATTTCAAATTAAAAATGCACGATAAATAGTGACAGACGTGATAGTGCTCTAATTGGAGAAAGCTTGAAGGGAGTGTCAACTTTACAGACTGTTAAGTACTAAGGAAAATCCTTCAAATGTACACATAATAGTATCATTTCCTTAAAGTAACATGTATATTTTATGATTATATATTTTTAATTTTAATCTTAAAAATATCTCTCTAGTCTTTCCAGAGCGCAAGCGGTAGATTTGTGTGAAGCAGAGAAGCAATAAAGGGCGTGGCCTATTATTCAAATAGGTAAGTCATTTTATGTTTAGCGTGGTTGTTCATATTTCATATCTTTTTAAGTCATCTACTCCACTTTATTTTGATAATTGGAATCTAAGTAAGATTCTAAAAACTACAGATGATCCCAATTGCAAATGTTACCGGCACAGAAATTGTAATCCACCTTGCTTTGAATCAATTTCGGCCCCGTTATGTTCTAAAGGATAAAAAGAGACCCACTTATTTGGTAAGGAACTTCCGTGGCTGAAGGGACTTCAGTTGCTCAAGGGACTCTCGTGGCTGGTTATTGTTTCCACTCACTGCAGTTCAAATCCCGTAAGGGACTTTGGAAAGTTTTCATGTTAGAAAGCTATATAGCTTGATCACAATTTAGTCTCGTCATTAAGAACCGTATTATTTTAGTTTCTGCGAGGTGTTCAAACATTAAAAGACAATCGCTTTTCGGCCCTTCGAATACAACAGTACAAATACACATAACGGAAACGGTATTTCGTCTAACCTACGCTAAAAAAACTAGACATGTATACATTTAGTAATTTAATGATGGGAGTTGTTGATTAAGTTTATGTCCAATATATCAAGTAAAAGTCCACCTAAAATAAGTAAATTCATTGTCAGTCTTCGGAAAAGGACCTCGAACACAATAGTATAATAGTATAACCTACGCTAAATGTAAACAAATAGTAATTTAATGCTAGGATTTGTTAAATAATTTTATTTCAATATATCGAGTAAAGATCCACGTAAATTGAGTAAATTTATAGATATATAAGTAAACAGTACATCATGTATAAATATGCTTATTATCATGGTTGTTGAAACCGAAAGTACAAAATGTCTATCTGCTCAGATTTGTTTATAATTTGAGATCAATGGGCATTTCTCTATTGATTATGATTGGTAGACATATTTTCGATTATAATTATACCGAAATAAGACTTTACTTTCCTTTGGATGTCAAAATTATATGAGCCGCGTCACTACAAAACTAACATAATGGGTTTGCGACCAGCATGTATCAAGACCAGCCTGCGCATCCGCGCAGTCTGATCAGGATCCATGCTGCTCGCTATCAGTTTCTCAACTTGTAATAGAGTTGGTAAGCGAACAGCATGGATCCTGATCAGACTGCGCGGATGCACAGGCTGGTCTGGATCCATGCTGGTCGCAAACCCATTATGCTGGTTTTGTCATGACGCGGCTCATATACATTCGTTATACATTAGCAAAGATTATGTACAGTCTATTATTGGTGACATCTAAAACCACGTGTTAAAAGTACTTTCAATCCATATTAAGTCTTAAGTCCGAGCTTAAAATGCATAACAGCTGAGATGATCCGATTTATTAAATGGCATTACGAATAGGAACCACATAATGTTAATGCACCCTAAATTTTATCTTTTTAACTTACATTAAACATAATTGCACCACTTAATCATGTAATTCTTTCATCAAAGTATGAGTTCATACACTTAGCTCACCTTTATAATGACCTATTTAAGAAATGACAAGTTTTCATATCAAAGTTCAGTATCATTAGTTAACGAGGACATTCTGGTGATTATCACAACGCACGTTCAACTTCATCATTTGTCTTTGTACGTTAAAATGACACCGTCACATAAACAGATACGCCGTTAAAAGCTAATGGAACTCACCTTATTTAGGACGACCTTGTAAATAAATGTGGATTGTGGTAATTAGAGGTACTTTGTGGTAATTTGTCGTATTCTTGTTAATTCTGGTATAGTAAATTGAAGCGTTCGCTATTTTAATTCAATAAGAAATCTTTCTCTATGTACCTATATTGGCATTTATTCTTAGTCTTAGAAAGTTAAAAAGTTTGACAAGAAGTATCTTTAAAATAGATCGTAGTGATTTTTTTATTACTTCTGAGCCGGTGAAATTTATGAGATAAAATCAAATAAAACGTCTTACACAAAAAACAAACATATTTTCTTTTTATTTTATGATCAAATACAAGTTTTAGTGAAATTTCCTTGATATTAATTTGAATACCAATTATGTTTTCCCCACTATTAGCCCTCAATTTAAAACGTATTGTTACGGTCTAGTTTGTCGGGGGTCCTTAAGTATGCTGGATATTCTTTACTCTAACCGTATATTGATACTCAGGTTTTCAATGTATTGATACAATCAAGTACAAAACTGATGTGTAGATCTCCAACTCACCTGATAGTAATCAGGCAACACCGTTGTAAATAGTTATAAAATTGATTCAACAAGTTAATATTGTCAATAACACTTATTGTTAAACAGTTATTAATAATTTCTATCAGCAAACAGCTTTCTTAATATCTCAAGACAGCTCACAAATCACCTTACAATAATTTAGTACCGCTACGCCTTCAAAATAATATTTAGTACAGATGAACCAAAGCTCTCGGTGACATTAGTTGCCAGATTTACTTCAAAAGACAGTGAAGTAAAAATCTCTATCAGTTACTTTAATGTTATTATGAAAAAGTTATACAAAATTTTAATATCAGTTGTATAAAAATATCTAAGTTCTGCATTTAACTCAACTAGATATAATTCTAGTATTTTAATAATCTTAACTTGTTGGTGACATAAATTTAACTTTACAGTAAATTTAAGATTTCAGCAGACAAATTAATGTACGTTTACCACCGAGAGTTTCTAAATCTGAACCTTTCCTGTCACCAAACTCTGCTGCTTTTTATGTTAGGCAGTGGTAGAAATGACAAAGAAATGGGTAAAATACCAAGAATTGGTAGAGCCGACTCAGAACCTAACCAAAATGGTCGATACCAAAAACGGGTAGAAAACTATCTACCTAAAAACAGGTAGGAAACATGTAAAAAACTTTCTACCGAAAAAACGGGTAGGAAACTATCAACAACAAAAAACCAGGTAGAAAACTATCTACTTAAAAACAGGTAAAAACTATCTACCGAACTATCTATCATAAACGGATAGTAATTATCTACCAAAAAAGGGAAAAAAACTATCTACCAAAAACGGATAGAAAACTATCTACCGAAAACGGGTAGAAACTATCTATCATAAACGGGTAGAAAAAAAAACAGTTGGAAAACTATCGACCAGAAACTGGTACAAAACTTTACAAGATAATTTTTTTTTCAATTTCTTCAAAACGAACTTGTTTTCTAGTTTCTAAAGGTCAAATAGATAGACTGGAAAATTCAGATGTAATGCAACAACTCTTATACCGACGCGTTTGTCTGATGCAAAATAGTTCTCCTTTACATAAAGTTTTAGCCTGGTTCCACGATATTAAGTATCGGTAAACTATCCTCATTGCATGAAATCAAAGAGTTGTACAGTTCATGCTTTGTATACGAAGGTAAAAAAAAATGTCCTTCCATTTAAAAAATCAAAGGGCTGCAGCTCGATGGTATTTTCTGATCTGTGCAATCTAAATCATACTGACTATCTGTATGTACTTTCCTGTGTAAGTTTATTTTTATATACTATAATTCATCTTACGCAGCGACAGCGTTTTGATTTTCTTCTATAACAGTTTGAGATTGATACATATGGAATTTTGCATGAAAAAAAAAATAGAATTGCCTCGACTAGGATTTGAACCATAGGCCTCTCACACCCTCAACGAGACCGCTTACCTCTGCACCACGGCGAAGTAATACATATGTACCTTGAATAAAAACGAATACATTATGTAATTCTAAATTGAGAATTTCCATTTCGTGTTTGCAATCCTTATTAATTTCGAGGTATTTTGTTCACGATAAACCTGTTGTTTAACACTTAGAAAATAATTTAGCGACAATCTTCTCGCCAAAACAGTACGACATGTATATATTCCACTACTCGACAGTCAGATTTATTTGTGTACTACGCTCTGGGGTATTCATTAATCGACATAGCTTAAAATAGCATTTTCATTGATTAAAATGATATTCATGATAATCCGAAGCTTTACGGAAATAGCCGAACATTTTTCATTGGGTAAAAAAGATATTCATCCGCGAAATTTGTGATTGTAACCTCATATTTCTATTGACTAATCTAAACTTTTAATGCACTGTAATTTGTTAAATGCCTACATTAAAAATTATTCTTTCTTTTAAATTGCTAGTTTTTAAGCAGTTTTGAGTGAGAACTACTTTGCGTTGTTAGGACAGTAAGGAAATTTTGTGTTAGACCGTGGATGTTAGCTATGTATTTACTGATCTTACGATCAGAAAATACAAAAATGTAAATAAAAGATGGTATGCAACAAAGTAAGGAATTCAAATTGTAATCCCGTAGTGTAAAGCTGATATATGTGAATTATTTTATATATGTACTTGTATTTTTATTGAAAACTCGCTAAATAAATCATGTCAAATCGGATAAATTATGCGTCTTATTCAAAATCATAAGAGACTCGGCTGCTTCGCGGCGGAATGAACAGCGAGGAGGTGTAATATATCTGTCGCAACATACATCTTTAAAAGATTTTCATTTGAACAGCTTTAACTTTGAACGCACAGCCTTTTCCAGAACGCTGACGTGTACAAAAAACCAACTCTTTTTATGTTGTCACCACAATTAAATGTTGTAGTTCGAACTAATAATGACATTGTCCAGCATATCATATAAAACACTTTACAGCACATAAAATCATTATTCTGACATAAATATCACCTCATACATTAACGACGTTTCCCGACGTTTATTGCTACGTCATTTACGTAGAAGTGATCGGTCACAGAGAAATAAATATTCAATCAATAAATATAATTCAGAAATTTATGATTCAAAGATAATTTGGTGTGTTTTTTATTTGTCGGGTAAAAAAAATAGAATAAGATAAGAAAAGAATTTTGCTTCCCGAAAAACATTTCCATTGATATGTTTATGGTTTTTCTCTCTATAATATAGTTAAGGAAGTAAATTTCGTTTGGAGTTAGATAATTTATTATCAATAAAAAAGGGTAATATTCAAAAAGTTCAACAATCAATCGCAATTTTTCGGACCTTTCCTTAAAACGTCGGATGACGAATATTGGTAATCGGCAAGGCTTTCCGAATGCGTGTTTATGAACCAACCAGTACAGGTGTCATATGAAGAAACATGATCGAAACCGGATTAAGACTCGAACCTATAATCCCTGTGTTTAGAGGCAGACACCTTAACCACTAGGCCAGCGGTTTTCTTAAGATAACGTCATGTGGCGGCTTTGCAGCTCTTACTACTGGCTGCCATTTCGTTAACAATCTTGGTCGTTGGCAGATAAAAGAACCATCTTACTGATAGCTTCCTCTTTTGAATAAATAAATAAATAAATAAATAAATAAATAAATAAATAAATAAATAAATAAATAAATAAATAAATAAATAAATAAATAAATAATAAGTATTTGGTGTTGTGTGTCAACTGTAAAATAGCTTATTTATTCTTGTAAGAACAAAACTAAGTTTGCAATTTCTTTTGCTTCTGTTTCAAAATTGCAGTCAGTCAAACCAAATTTGCATTATTTTTGCAACAACTCGTTTCTGTAAGGATCTTTCATCCCCAGATTTGTACACTACCAATAAATACAAAACAGGACTTGCATATATTTTTTGAGATATAAAATATAGATAGATATAATTTATTGACGTATACATATTTGTACAGTCATATAATATATATAACAACTGTCGTTTGGATGAAAGAAATCAGCTGTAAACAAGTATAAATGCATTTGAGCCGCGTCACGACAAAACCAACATAGTGGGTTTGCGACCAGCATGGATCCAGACCAGCCTGCGCATCCGCGCAGTCTGACCAGGATCCATGCTGTTCGCTTACCAACTCTATTACAAGTACAGAAACTGATAGCGAACAGTATGGATCCTGGTCAGACGGCGCGGATTTGCAGGCTGGTTTGGATCCATGCTGGTCGGAAACGCATTATGTTGGTTTTGTCGTGACGAGGCTCATTTATGTCAATGATAATTGATTACGTTCGAATAGAGATATATTGTTATTAAACAATGAAACAATGTGAAATCATGACATACTTAATCATCAAGTAACGAAATATCATGTTGTTTATATCATGTTTATCATGTTCGTAATGATGTCCATACAGTGCACACGTCACTTTGTAAGGTAATTAATTATTTTGTTAAAATGATACAGTGGTCAAAATGTGTCAGGCACAAAAATGTCACATACGTATATAATCTACGGGTCGTACAAATTAGTCACAATAAGTTTATGGCTTGCTAGTATACATATAAACATGTCAGTTGTCCGTTGTTGAGCACTTTTATTATTGTTCAGAGAGAGATCTTGCTCAGGCTGGGACTATAACAGATGCAAATATGTAAGTATAAATATCGTTATCATCTATTATCTGCGTCTCAAATGGTCCATACTTACTCACATTGACTTTAACGCGGGAATACAGGATGATGTTCATTAATTTTGGCAAGTAAGTTTATCAAAACAATTAACCGGACAAATATAGCTTTTAATTTGTTATTGTACATTTTTCACGTGAAAGTAGTCACTCGCGAAACGCACGCTGTTGAATGGTTTACGATTTCTAATCAGTTTCGTTGATTTTCTTAAGTTTATTGTAATAGAAAAAACTTTGCAAAGTTTTAACTTACTCGATATGTATATTCAATATATAATTCTATATAGAGTTAAAAAATTGACTTTGAGCTTTTATTGAAACCGCGGTTTTCTTCATTTATAAATTACGTTACCATTTTAAAACAATAAGAATATTAAATACTCCTCAATTCATACGTAAACATTACAATTTTCTTTCTATTGTAAATAAATATTAACAGTATTAAGTACTCGTCAATACGTACGTAAACATTTCTTTCTATTGTAAATAAATATTTTGATAAATACGGTAGATTTGGCGTTACCATCTTTTTTCCGTGAGAGATTTTCATCTTTAAAGATTGTTCTAGTTGAGAAAATGTTTGTTTTATCTCTAGAAGGGCTAATTTCCGTAGAAATTTATTTGAAGATAAACTAGTAAACAATTACGAATTATTACTTAGTCAAACCATGTCAATCTTTGGTTTTACTTATACGATTTCTTTGATATTTAATAATTTTCTTTTAATTCTTGATATATAATTTTAAGCTTAATTGTTCTTACTGTTTACCATCCAATTTATACGCTATCCGAACATGTGAACACTTTTTTAAATATTTTCAGGTTACTGTTTCTGCTGCTTATGAATGTTGCAGTTACATCCGGTGCACCTGCAACTAAATCAAACTCGACTGCTTCCCGGAGCAACACACCATCTAAACCAAATGTGCCGCCATTCATCAAACAATGTTTTTACGAAGGACGCTGGTTCCCGGCCGGTACTATAGTGAACGCCGGAAGATCAGGAGATTGGTGTTTCGGTTCTTACTGTGATATCGACGGGCATATTAAGCATTGGGATGATTACAATTGCCCTCCACCGGATAAAGATAACCCTCATCCTCCATTTCCAAACCTGAACAAACTCCATAAACAGCAGACGACTTCGTCAACAACAACAACTACTACTACTACTACAACTACAACAACACCGCGTCCTACGAGACCGCCGACAATGGCGCCAACTGGATTCTGGTTCCCATCCTTCCAACCTCCTACAATGCGCGCGCCCAGTTTTAATTTCGACCAAATGGGTTGCTTCTTTCGCGGAGAATTTTATTGGGCGGGACAAGATATCGTTAACAGACGCCGAGGCCGACGATGCTTTGGAACATATTGTGATTTCAATGGCGTCTTACAACATTGGAATGATGACTGTAGATTCACGGTACCACCACCGACACGCCCACCTCCAAGACGTCCACCAAGAAGACAACGCCCACAAAAGTCAAATGCTGCAGTAGAAACATAGAAAACTTCAAAATTAGACTTACATAAATATGTATATACATTTATATATGCAACGATTTTGCACAACCGTTTTCAGGGAATCTCTGAAGACGTTTAAAAAGTTCTGACCAAATTAGCGCTGCATACTGTATCGGTTTATTATTCATTTATACCTAAGAAAAAGTCTGAGGATTTTTCTAAAGGAATGTTGTGTGTAAACTATTTTGTGCCATTTCATCGCTTAAAAGTTTTGCCAGTGTAAATATCAAACAGGTCAACAATATAAGTCTTGAAACTTGTAATTTCGCTGTTTCGTGAAGATCTGGGTCTTAAAAAGGGAAGAAGCGAGATCTTGAAGTGAAAATACAAATAACGAGCACGAGCGCTTATTTTTGCATTTATATAAGTATAAGTGGCAAACATCAGACGCCATAGTTTTGATTACATATGACAGTCATGACTGGCATATGATAGATTAATAGATTCTATAATTGCCAAGTGTCATCAGAAGATAATTCTTGTCAGTATTCATTTATTAACCATGTCCAATATCATGTGCCATTATATCACTTTACATATATCATCCTATATTCATTTGTACGTGTTATAATAATGCACATTTATAACGTCAAATTTCATTGGACAATCGTGACGTTTATATCATCTTTATACACGTTTTCTGCAATTTTATAGTTTTTGTATAATGATTTAATCATAGAAAGCTATGTGTACTATTATACAGATTTTTCCAATGGTTATATGACTTTGTTTGCTATATAACCGTTTAAGCCCCCCCCCCCAAATCAATTTAACTAATGATATACATATATATGTACATAATTAGTTTACAGGACTGTGTTTTTGACACCCAGTATACTTGTACTATCATTTCTACATGTGTTTTCATTATTTCATTTGAAACAGTACATTACCAGTGAACTTCATTATTTTTTCATAGAAATTCTTTAAGTTGTATGTATCATGTTGAATAAAAATACCATTTATAAAAGGATTGTGTTGTGAGAAGACATTTTATTAGTTCTGGCCATTCAAATGACATGAAACAGAAGTTTTTAACCACACCGTATTACCGGCGCCAGATATGACAGATTGCTGACCAGAAATAATTGAGCCGCGTCACGACAAAACCAACATAATGCGTTTGCGACCAGCATGGTTCCAGTTCAGCCTACGCATCCGCACAGTCTGATCAGGATCTATGCTGTTCGCTTACCAACTCTATAACAAGGGAGAAACGGACAGCGAACAGCATGTATCCTGATCAGACTGCGCGGATGTGCAGGCTGGTCTGGATCCATGCTGGTCGCAAACCCATTAAGTTGGTTTTGTCGTGACGCGGTTCATATGAAATATACCGATTACTACTTGGTTCAAAATCATAACTATAGACTTACGGCCCATTGACTGAAAAGAAAAACCGCAAAAATATAATTTAGTTTTGGACTAGTTTCCCCATTTCATAAACTATTTTGAGCAGGTTAAAAATGAAAAAAAAATCAGTGAAAATGGTTGGTGTTTTATTCTTCAGAATACCATATGAAGGAATTTCGTGTTAAACAACGACACAATCATCACTTAGAGTCATGTATGCAAAATATCAACCCAGTGTGTCTTTTCTTGACGTTACAGGATGATACAGGCATCCAAACTAGCCCTGGCGAAGAGAAAATGCTGCCGTTGTAGGCAGGGTATGTATTTTCGGGACTGCCGATCATGGCACGACTTGCTTCTGGGCAGAAATTTGAAACAGCACAGCTAGCAGTCCTTAGATTACTAGCTCGAAGTCTTTAATTAAAGATAACTGTGTAAATATGGGTGTACGGACATAATCCCCTTCATGTATTTTTGCATATCTGGACATAATCCCCTCCATGGGTGGACATAATCCCCTTCATGTGTGAAATTTTGAAGCGGACAAAATCCCCTTCATAAAATTGCTACCTAGGACAAAATCCCTCTCGGAGGAAATTTCGGTTTATAAAGTGGGTATGAGAGCTTAATGTATAAATAAGTAGAAAACATTTTAGCAGAAAAGCACATTCAATTAGCACATTTTAATCACAATACAATTGCTTAAAATTGCTTTGTTAAAGCATTCACAATAATCAATTAAGTAGTGCAGTGATCTTGGTTTGACTAAATTATCACTTTTCATCAATATAAATGGTAACAATGGATATTATATATCAATTAGAATTATCAATCAATGAAACAATTATTGGCTAATAAAAATGTTTTTAATACTAATCAATTTAAAATAATTAAAGAAATTGCCTAATCAAATATTTGTAATTCAGTTGATAATTTACCATAATTTTAATGAAAATTTCTAAACTAAATAACTATTGATACATAATTTTAAATAAAAAAAAAGGTCATTATTAATCAATTTATATGGAGTATAATTATACATTATTCATCAATTTTTATGGAGCATAATAATACATTAGAAACCTATGAAACAAGGGGATTTTGTCCGGATAGAGAAGGGGATTTTGTCCAGCCTTGCAAAAACATGAAGGGGATTATGTCCACCCATGAAGGGGATTTTGTCCGGGTGGGCAAAGGGGATTTTGTACGGGTGGGCAAAGGGGATTTTGTCCGGGTGGGCAAAGGGGATTTTGTACGGGTGGGCAAAGGGTATTTTGTCCGGGTGGGCAAAGGGGATTTTGTCCGGGTGGGCAAAGGGGATTTTGACCGAAGGGGATTATGTCTGACATTCGTAAATATGACAACTGTCAACAACATTGCACCTTTACCCTGCTCTGGAACCAAAATGAATTAACCAGTATAGAGCCAAGCCAGGCCGAACATCTGTACAGTATGCTCAGGTTCTGTTCTGTTGGCTTACTTCCTTTCTATATTTCTTTCTTGATATTTCTAGATTGACAATGGACAGTGCCAAGCTAAGAATGGAAGCTTGTAGGGTTAATTTTACAAAATCAGCTGGTTAAAGGTTAGCCTTGCAAATCTGTACAGTCTTACCAGTGTCAGCACTGTCGGCTGCTCAAGTTTAAACCATTTTTCCGTGCAGTCCATCGCATCACCTTTTTCTATTTACAAGTCGATTATTGAGATTTAATGTGTATCCCTGGATTAATATTTGCAAATTGTAAAATATGTCTCCATCATTTAATGCATATAAAACGTTTTTGAAACGTTTTTTTGTTGTTGTTGTTGTTGTTGTTGTTGTTGCAGAAATAAAGTAATTTGATTATACATGTATTCATTAAATGAAAAGGAGAAAAAAACTGTAAACTCGAGATTTTTCAAGAAATTACATATAATCATTTTAAAATTTCATTGAGAACTTAAAGCTACAGTCTCACTTACATCCCGGCAGAGCCCCGGTAGACGTCCGGGGTGATCCGGGAACCAACAGGGTACGACCGGGAACAACCGGGGTACATCCGTAACTCTGCCGGCAACGTCCGGGAACATCCGGCATTCGACCCCGGATGGAATAAAATATTTAATATTACTGGGGTGGTCCAGGATGATCCGGGAAGGTATAGCTAGGAAAAAGGACTTTAAAATAAAATCTAGTCAAGCTTTTAACTTTAAGCATTATTTTTGTTAAATTGATATGTTGTATTTGTAAAACAATGTTCATTTCTACTTGAAATTATCCGTTTACCAGGGTGACCAGACCTCAGTGTGGAAAAAAGAAAACAATAACAACCACAACAAAACAAACAAAATAAATAATGTTAAAAAGACACGAATGAACGTCTTTGATAAATGAAAGATTCAATGCAAATTTGCATTAATAAACTAATCACGATTCCAGTGTTCGGAGTAGATCGGCTACTTTGATTTTGAATTTGAATGGCTGGTTATAGATCCCATCCTGCGGGGACAGTCGAATCATGAAATCTCTACTTAACGACGCCTCTGTGCTGTGAGTTGGTTATATCACAACCCAGGCCCTGTTAATAAACAGCAATGATTGGATAACCAGCCCGGGTTTTACAACAACGGACTAGTCCTCAACTGTAAACGTGCATTGGTACTTTTTTGTTACATCAACAAAAGTGGAAAATTTAACATGATTTTCTAGTCCACTGATTTTATTACTTATTTATTTATGCAATTTGATTAACGTTTATTTGATATTACTTAAGACCGGACGTAACATGCAGTAAGGAAGCATAGTGGGGTCTCTATATCTAGTTCAAGGTTAAAAGCCGACGATAATCTCCAACTAAACGACAATATAATTGTTATTTATTGTATAGATATTAACATGACAACTCGTAACGCTCTTTTGAAAGGGATTTATTCTTTTTTCGTATTCAATAGAAAACCGATTATATTCTGTAACAGAAAGCGATGACGTAAAATTTTACGACATTACCTAACAATAGCAGTGGTCAAAATTATAAATTTTTCTTTGGTACTCTATAAATGTAAAGCACAGCATAAGGACATACCTTCTTTTTTGATAGAGAAAAAAAACTGGTAAGTAACAGAAAATTTTATTTTATTTTTTAAAATAAAATACACAAATTAATGACTAGACGACAAATTTCTTCATATATAAAATGACTACTAGTATGTTATAAGTAAAATATGCATAGATTTATCATTGACGTTTTTTTATTAGCATTTATGGAATTAAATCTGCCTCGAGCGACGCACTGGACGAATTACAATTTCAAACATGTAATGCAATTATTCATTTATACATATTGTTCATATGAAGCTGGGGGTGATTTGTGGTGATGGTGGTAGGGAAAGGTGTGTGTGTGTGTGGGGGGGGGGGGGGGGTGGAGTACTTAACTAGTTGTTGTGTTTCTTATTTAAAAAATTGTTTAAAAGGTGTTCGTCTGTGCATTTTACAACACCTGACAAGAACGCAAATCTTTCGTTAGCTTGTCTATATTGTTGGATAGTTTCTTGGTGTGATTCGAAAACACATACGTGATAGGCAAGAAAATCAATGCCAGTTTCTTTAGACACGAGCAGGCTTGTAAGACAATAATTCACTTATATGCATTATGTCATCATACACAATAAAATTGAACATGTTTTGATTTTCTTGTCACAGATTTACACTTACATCCGCATAGCAGAATGTCGAACTTAGAGGTAGCGTCAAATGTAAATGGCACGGTAAGTTTGTAGTATTTGTACCAATTAATCAATATATAAATTTTAATTTGCGTCGTCAAGGTTTCGTACATTATCTTATATATGAAAATCAAATTTAATGTAAATATTATTTAATGTCTGAATTTCTCCGTGAAAATTGATCTCGTGATAATAGTCATTTGCCTCTAACCGCTGATTTAGAAGGTATTCTATAATTAGAAATCGGTCATTTGTTGAGAAATTGGTAAAAAATACTTGTTAGTTATCAAGGAAAGCAAAAACAAACGGGAAAGCACACCGACACAGTGCAGTTATTTGGCTTCTTCCGGTTTTACAAATGGGGAAATTCTTAGGAGTTTACAAAACCCATAAGCCAGCTTTGTTACGTCGCATTTAACTCTTACCAAATATAGCTCTCCAAAGGGCTTTGTAGGAGCACATTAGACTTACGTAAGACCGATGCGGTCGCATTTGTCCCAGATGAAGCAAATGGGGCCTCACAAGATAGCACATTTGTCTCATGTCAATTTTATGAATTATTTGTCACATATTTTCCAAATGCAGAATTTTTTCTCGAGATTCGCCTTTTTACCTCATGTAAAGTGAAATCATCAATAGGCTTGCTAATACTTTTTTTATGAAATCTTAAACCACACATCTACAATAGAACTATTAATTCTAATATCTCTAAATCAAGAAATTTGATTGGCTGAACCTGAGTGCGGAAAACAAAACAAACGGAATCCTGCTCACGATAGTACCATGGTGAAAACGCTATGACACAATGGTACGATGATGAAAACGCGATGGTACGATGATGAAAACGCGATGGTACGATGATGAAAACACGATGATACAAACGTGAAACATCGATTGTATGATGGTGAAACAACGAATGAACGATGATGAAAACGTGATGGTACGATGGTGATGCATGGTGAAAATACGAAACTGCGATTGCATAATGATGAAAACTTGAGATTATTTTCACCATCTGGTCATCGCATCATCGTGATTTCACAATTGTGCCATCGTTGTTCCATCATCGTGCCATCGTGTTTTCATCTTCGTACTTTCGCGCTTTCGCCATCGGGCATAACGGTTCAGAGAGACAAAAATATTACTTATGTCGGAACAGAACATAGTAATCGGGCGATATTTTGAACAATACAATAACATGAATTGTTTGGAACGTCGCCGGAGTCTCGCTTCTTGCTTCAAAATTCGTACGTTTACGCGAGACATGAAAATCCTTCGAGGCATTTCACCGTTAAATAGAATTTCCATTATATTCTCTGTAAAACTGATATTTTTCAAAGAGCTACAAAACGTAGCCAGACCCATTTAAGGGAACAAATCCGTATCTCATTTTAAAGAGTTAAAACTTATGTAAAATGATGAGAAAATTAGGGGTCATATATGTTCTAAGAAAAAAAATTCTAGCGTCACATTTGTTACAGTAAATTCACTTAAAACATCACACTGTTGTGAAGTGGAAGCACCACCAATACTGAAATTAAAATTCACCTTATCAATTCAAATAGCTCGCAATGTTTTTGCTATAAAGATATAATTACATATCCATGATACAATTTAAACAGAAAAATGCTTAAATTTAGACCTCTACAATATTGCCATGCAGCGTGGAAACAGTATCCAATAACCTGTATGCCATCCCGCGAGAAACCTAGATGGCCTTTACCGTAGCAAGGCCCTTGAGAACAGAGCTGCATTACTGGTACTGGTACTGGTACTGCAGTACGTACTGCAGCGATTTTGCAAGTACTGGTACTGATACTGAATTACTCTTACAAAATTTTGCTACAACTGGTACTGGTACTGCATTACTGTCTTAAAAAGTGGTACTGCTACTGCATTACCCAGTACTTTTGGTATTGATAAAAATTAAAAATAGCATCAATTTTTCTCATAAAATAAAGCTGTAAATAACATTAACTATATTTTATTTTTGTGAAAAAGTAAGTTATCAAATCTAAAGATAATTTGTTGCAATATTCCTTCAAATGTTAACATAGTTTTCATCATAAAAAGCACCAAAGACTTTAAGTAAAAATTAAACTAAGATAAACAGACTCAATAACTCTTTACCCTAAAATATCCTTATTAAAATCTTTTATTACTTTGTATTTACTAGTAAAAGAGCAAAATAAACACTAATTAATTTCTTCTATTCTAAATAATCCCATTTCAAGTGAAAAAAAGTGATATTGTTAGCACCATAAAAAGTTGTTATTTACTTTGGTATAAATTGAACAGAGGTGTGAAGGTGTGAAAGGCAACAAAAGACTGTTGTGTTTTAAATGAAAGATGTTTGCATTGTATTTATACAGTTGACTGGTTACTAAACAATTAGATATGACATTGTAAATATTGTTTGTAAAACGTATGTTAAAACTATAAAGTTGTAAATATGTTATGTTAACTTTAAAGTACATTATGATTTTATTTCTTTGCTGATTAATATTTGCAATTATTTGTTTGACACTGTATTTATTCAAACTTTGATGAATATATAAAAGTAATGGTACTGATACTTAATTACTTCACCAAAAAAAGTACTGGTACTGCAGTACCGAGCTAAAATCTAGTACTGGTACTGGTAATGGTACTGCATAATTTGCCAAGTACTGGTACTGGTTCTTAAGTACTACACCCTTAGTACTGATGCAGCTCTGCTTGAGAATCACATACATGAAGCGATGCGCGAAAGACACGAAAGGCGAAATTCCGGCAAATCCTGCAGCGAGGCACGATATTCTACCGTGAAATCTCGTGATACATACGGTATACTTCGTCATTGCGAGATCTCGAGTTACAATATCGTGCCTCGCTTCGTGTCCCGTCGGAATGTCGCGTCTCACCTGATTCTGCGAGGCCCGATATTCAATAATTATAGCATTACCCGGATTCTTTTAGGAACTCATGCACGTTGTACGTGCTTTTCCAATGGCGGATCTTAAAGCAGTAATGCTCGGAAAATGGCGATTTTTTTAAATATATTTCTGATGATTGGATGGTCTTCCGATTTCCTTCCTAAGATCATTTAGGTGTCTTCGTGGCCGAGTGATTTAAAAAACAACAACACTTCTCCCTTACCGCTGTAGGTCCGACACCCTCTCGGGCACCGAATTATACATGCAAGGAAGCCCGTCCAGGGTCCAAATGCAGAATACCTATCCGCGTGCGCACGTATTAGTTATCGCGTGCGCACATACTAACTATCTCTTTAGAACGTAATAGCTATCGCGTGCGTACGTGATTGTATCATATTGCCACGTCATAGCTGACATGCCGAACAGGGATATTCTTTAAGTTAATATTTGACTCCTATGCAGAGGCAGGAAGTTTTTGATTGACCGGAAGTGACCTTAATTATAACGATCTGATTATAAATACAGATAACACAGCACAATGGCTGGTAGCCAGTATACGGGCGGGTATAATTGTTACCTTTTATGAATTTTATGGAAGAATGTGAGACAAATGTGCTTCGAGTGTCCTTTCTATAGTGTGTAGAACACAGCTGTCTCATGTCCAATTTGTCGCAAATCTGAATGTTCACGAGCACATCGGCAAATAATAATAATACAATAATAATAATCAGCATCATCATCATCAGTATCATTACCATCTCATCAACACCATCATCATCATCATCATCATCATCATCATCATCATCATCATCATCAACAGCAACAACAACAACATAACCATCATCATTATCATTTCATGTTAAATATTATCCGCAAGCAGCTTCAGTAACAATATATCTACATCATAATCATCACACATATATAACTATCATAATCATAATTATGATAATCATTAACATCATCCTCATCATCACCATCATCGTCATGATCATCATCATCACCACCATTGTCATCATCATTTGCATCGCCATCATTATTATCATCATCTTCTTCCTCTTCTTCACCATCATCATCATCATCATTGTCAACATTATCATAATCGTCATCATTATTTTTATCATCATTATTATCATTATTAAAAAGCGAGGCATCGCTTTTTGATTTGATGTTTTTTTTCCATGAGCTTTGTTCGTTTGTGTTCTGCAGTGCAATAAATAAAGCTCTCCGGAGAGATATATCCGATGAAAGATATTTGCGGCCTTACACATCATCATTTCTTCAGAACCATTGATTAATGCCAAAATCAAATTTAAAATCACCATAATGTCAGTCTAAGCTTTTATTATCATCATACCGTTTGAATTAAATGCTCGATGATTTTACAAGCCGCTATACTACCACCTGTAGACGAATTATGTCAAAAGCCGAAAAGTTGCGGTTGCAATCGGCTCAAAGGCCTTTACCGAATTATGACAGAAAAGGCCGAAAAGATGCGATTGAAATTGGTTCAAAATATAATGGAAAGGCAGATAACTAATACCGCCACACATATTTATGACATAAATAGTAAAATGATCTTTCGAAGAATATTCGAAGTGTTCCTATTATCGCAATTTTACTGTATTTCACACTAAAATCTTGGTAGATGGATAAGATAATAATTTAAACGTCTTCCCAACTAAACTTTGGAGAAGTATAATGATTAAAAAAAATAATTTGATGCATCTTTATTATCTAGAGTTCTGAAAGACGTCACACTGAATCAGACGTCACAAAACATTTCGTGAAAGCATTTGCACGGTCTTCTAGATCATTCAGCAGCAGTAACACGGAGGTATCATTTGAGAACGGGACATCTCCCGGAAAAGAAGCGCTAAATGATAAAGCATCCGCGTGCCAAAGTTCGATGTCAGGCAACACATTTGGAGGCAGTTTATTGCGGAGACGTAGCACACTGAAAGGAGTTGCACAAGGCATCACGGGAATGCTTAGAATGCGACGGTTAACTAAACCCACGATCAAACCGAAAATCAGACTGGAGAACACGTACAAGATGGCGCCGGACACAGGGAAACACATGGCAACCTCGAAGATTGAAATAATAGCTCAGCAAATTTTAGAAAAAGAAATCGGCAACAAAACATATAACAGCGCCACGGTTGGAACCATGACTCGTGTCATATCTACAGAAATCAAAAACAAAGTGAAAGAATTGAACTTTCAGCGTTACAGGATCATTTGCCAAGTTGTTATTACTCAGGTCGAAGATCAGGGAATAGAAGCGACAAGTAGATGTCTATGGGATGCCAGCTGTGACAATTTTGCCGCTGTCTCGTACAGAAATGATTCGATAGCAGCTATTGCCATGATATATGGAGTTTATCTTGAATAGCTTTCCGCTTTTTGATTAACTTTTCGGTCTTTAAGTGTAAAAGGAATAGCTTGTTACAAAATGATCGAGTTTTAATGATTAATGGACTTCTGAAAAATAAGTTTAAGATCGACTACATCAAACGTCAAAGCGACTGTCAAAACGTTTTATCTTACAAAATACATCACACTGTTCAAATTTTCAAGTTTAAACACGAAATGAAACTTTTTTGTATCAGTCATTTTCAATGAACACTTCATTGTACATAGGCCTACTAAATTTTGTGTTCCCCTTTAATCAACAATAAATACATTTTGTTTTAAAATGTGTATTGTTTCAACAATAAATTTACGTTTTGATTTAAATGTGTATTGTTTAGATATAAAAATATAGTTCATTGTTTAAAGCGACATGTATATAAAAGATCATAGAGTCAAGTTTCATAATACTTTTAACTTGCTTCCATTGTTTTCATTTGTAAATATGTTTTACGTTTGTAAATATGTTCTATGTTTGTAAATATGTTTTGGGTTCATGTTTGATTGTACGGAATTTAAAGCAAGGGAAAACACTCTTTCTTTGAAAATTATATTAGAAGTGTTTGTTGTCTCCCTTGAAACGGACTTGGATTTAGAACAAAACACTGTTTGAAAATAAAAACTTGATTTTGTTGTTGTTATTATTTATGTACAAAAATGTACTGAAAACAGAACCTTTTTTTCGCCAGTCTATTGTTATAATAACGATTTATTGTCCTCCCTGAAGGGAGAGCATATATTCGCCGCCTTGTCCGTCCTTTCGACTTATTGTCCGCCCTTCATTCTTTCTGTCCGTCCGTTCGTGACACACTTGTGCCTCTTGAGAATAACTTGATAAGTATTAAATAATTCAATTTTAACTTCACACAGTGATAGACAACAATTACAGGAAGTGCAGAGGCTAAGAATCATAACTTTACCTTGCTCAATTCCTTAAGTTGAAATGCTTGTCCCGAACTACTATATTGCTTTGTTTTTTTTTAATTATCCCCCTTTATAATTCTTAATAATGCTTGTCTGAAGAATAGCTTAAAAAATTTTGAAAGAATTTGAATAAAACTTCTCACAGTAATAGAAATCAATAGTGACTAGGAACCCTAATTCTACCTTACTTATTTTTTTTTAATTATCTCCCTTAATGATACATGTACTTAGAATTGCCAAATAATGGTTTTCCAGAGTATAACTTCAAAACTATCAATTGTGTCTAATTCAAACTTCACACAGTTGAGAATAGTGACCGGAAGTGCAATGTCAAAGTATCATAACTTTATAACGTAATATTTAACATATTTTTGTAGCTTTTCAAGTTTCCCTTATGATAATTTAAATATTAAATAATGATTGGCTGAAGTATAACTAGTAAACTTTCAACGATGCTGCATTGAGACTTCACACAGCTTCAGACACTAGTAAGAGGAAGTGCAGTGTTGAAATATCATAACTATACGTTTTTTGTTTGTTTTTGAATTATCTCCCTTTATAACATTTAATTATGCTTTGTAGAAGAATAACTGGAAAGGTTTTGAAGGAATTTGATTGAAATATACACTTTGATCGAGATAAGTATGAGAAAAACATAACACTATCTTGCTTATTTTGTTTAAGTGTCTCCCGTTAAATACTATTGCTTTTCCAGGGAATAACTAATGTTTTATTAAAGGCCCACTATGCTCCAAAAATGCTTTATTTTGAGAAAGCTTTTATATATATATTTTTGATGACCTGTTATATGTTCCACAAGGCTACTCATTTGCTAATTACTTGAACCATCTTCTGCTTCTATTGTCTATTGTCAGTTAGTACGCTTATAGTGATTGGGTATTTTGAATAGAAGTCAAAATACTACTTTGTTTACATTTTCTACTTTTTATAACAAAAAATTTGAGAATAACGCGCTACTTTCTTCATGTATCAAGCATCTAAAATGCAAAAAATAGCAGTATTCAATCGCTATAAAACAACCTCTTTATCAAGAAGAAAACAATTATAGATTTCTGAGGCATAATGTGCCTTTAAATGTATAAAAACAATTTGAGCCGCGTCATGACAAAACCAACATAGTGCGTTTGCGACCAGCATGGATCATTATGTATCACTTTTGATTAAAATATAACCTTTATTTATAGACCGATGTCTTTCATATTTGGTAGTAACATACCTCGGACGGTCTTCTAAATTTTGTTCCTTTGGATTAAGGTCAAGGTCGCCGATACTTATCATAGGTTTTTACACTATTTCTCATACAGATTTTATTTATTTACTAATATGTCTCTCATATTTAGGATGTAGATTCTTTGGGTGGTGCAGCTCTTGTAGAGAAAATGTATTTATTTTTAGCATTATTATACTTAAAAAACAACGACAAAAACAAGTCTCAGTATAATTTCCCGTTGCCTCGTCTTTAAGATACATATTCATTGCCCAGATCCAAGTAAAAAAATATTACTGTTTTGTTAATCACGAAACCCGCGATAATCCGTCCCTTTCAAGTTACCGCTCCGTTACTTAAAACTCTCTTTAAAGAAGAAAAAAGGACATAAACAAGTTAAAATGAGATATTCTGAATAATGATTTCAAAGGCAGTGTAACAATAGTTCGTGTTCAAACGGTTATCTCTATAAGATCAACGTGTATGATAGCTAGCTTTAAAGTTGATACTGATGATAGAGATTAACAAATGATAGCCATTTACTTAGAACGCATGCGCAAAAATTGCGCGTGCAGTTATTAAAAATAGATTTGACGAGAAAATAACGAAACAAGCTTATTCAATTTAGTGAAAAGCTGTAAATTATGAGAGGAATACGATTTTATTATTTCCCCCACCCTTCTTTAATTTATTCGGTCAAATATAAGTATTTAATATGTTTGCATGCATAGATAGAGTATATGGTATATGACATATTTGACATTTACTTTAATGTAGTTTCGTTTAAGGCAGTTCTTCAAATTCTTCAATAACTCGCTGCAAATGAGCTGGGAGAGAGAAAAAAGACACAATCAAGCCGATAAGACAGCAAAATCACTAAAATTATTTTTGCAAATGATTTATTTCGATTATATTATTGAGATATGTATCTTTAATGTGTGACAGTTACCAGAACAATATCTAACCAAATATTTGAATTTGACTTGTTGTTGTTGTTGTTTTGTTTGGCTTTTAAAATCGCAGTTACACTGTGTAGACCTATTGCATTAAGACATGAGCGGACACCAGAGTGTTCAGAACCGTCAACCGTCCATTAGCTAGCTGAAAAGCTTCTTCAAATAAAAAAATCCGGTCTTAAACACATATCGTCAGGGACAAAGTCCTTCACCATTTGGCCAAATAGCAAGTATACTCTTTTTTAACTTCTTAAGAAAAACTATAATGTTTTTAATATACAATCCAAGACATTATGTATTTTTGACACCATTTTTATCTCTTCCTTGCTCATTTATTGCTTCGCTGGGAGTCTAGTGGTTTTAAAAGTGTAAAAACCGCACTGTCTGGCTCGAACAATGCACGAGAAACTTTATACCCATCCCATCTTACTAATCTTTCATCTTTCCAATCTATCCCTCATATTGCACCCTCTCCGCTTTTGTTATTGTGCAGCACAACAGCCATAATGATGATTGCCTCTCCCGCCTTTTTCATACACTGACAATAAATTTTGAAAATCCGTAGTTTTCACTATCGCGTGTCACTAATTGTTGCTCTAATTGTCTTTTTTGTAAATTCGAAATTGTTTTATTTTAAACCACCCAATGCGACCCCGTTGACACATGCCTTCAAGTTCAAATTGACTCATACTTAAAAGTTTATCTCGAAATCTCGCCGATTATCGTGCCTTGATGAGATGTTATCTATACCATATCTTGTTTTGTTTACAACTCGTCACTTTTTCATTTAAATTGTTTTCTTTTAAAAAAGAGAGAAAAGAAAAAAAAGCTAACATTGTAAAAAGGAACTTTACAGATACTCAAAACTGGTAAACAACCTTTCACTTTTTTGTCTTGACCTACAAACCAAACTGATTTTGAATTGTTTCATTTAAAAGAAAATGGATACACGCTGATTTTAAGGAAAGTCACACAATATCGCATGGGCTCATGAAAATATTATATTTACCGTTGATATATATCAAAGCTATGACCTAGAGTTCCGAAATGTCAAGTGGCAGAACATGAAAATGGCATTTGAACAAGTTATTGCAATTATACTTATAATTTGCGAGTAGATTGCAAATTACAAAAATATGTCACTGGATCAAGAAAAGATAAAATGATCACTTGATAGTCCGTTGTTCACTCTATGTCCTACATAAATGGTATCCTATTTTAAAATAAATTATTAAAACTATTGAAATTTAATACGAATTTCTTTTATAATGCAAAAGTTTGTATTCTTAAGTGTTAATGTTCTCTGTGCCGTGATTTCGGCATTGAAGCTAATGCTTCCAGATTTCATGCTAATTTTCATGTAAATTCTGAAAATGTTTTTAAAAGTAAACATTGTAAAGTGAACAAAAAAGTAATTTACCCATTGCAATGGCACTTATAATCCACGTATATTACCAAAAAGAGGTCAGACTCTATGAAAAAAACAAACTAAAAAAATAGATAGGCCTTACTGCGTTAGTCACCCAGTAGAAGTAGGGTGATAAATACTGCAAAATCAGTCAATGGTCGGGCATAACATGTACATTATTACTTGAATCTTTTTATTTTTTCTTAAAATCTTAGAACATTTTTTTCAAGTTTGATTTTCTTGAAATGTTTTGGCTCATCTTAGCTGGAGGCATGCAGCTTTAAGAATACCCCTGCAACAATAGTTTGTTTGCCTTTTCATTTTTTATTCCAAAACAGTTTTACATAAAATGAGTAATGATTATTTTCCATTATTTTTACGTAATATAGCTAATTATAGTACATGTAATATAGCTGTAGTATTGTAAAAGATTAAGGAAAACTACTCAAATTGCCCCTTTGTTAGTTGTTTCAGCTTCCAGTTTACAAAAACAAAAATAATAATAAAAAAATAATAAAATGAAAAAAATAAGAAAAAGAAAGAAAAAAAGGAGAAAAAATCTCTTCAGCGTATTTTTGTGTAATGTTTATTTTTTAGAACTAGCGTGAATCCAGGGTCAGGTGGAGTTGCATAAAATGCATGCACATTACTTTTTAAGGTATGATCCACCTAATGCATTATCTCCACTTTGTAGAGTATTCAAATAGGCCAGAACTACTGTCAACTGCATTGTAACTGAGGGGCGTGGGTTCGAGCCCCAGAAGAGGCAACATTTTTTTTCTTTATTTTTTTTCTTTAAACATTATTTGTGTCTCTCAGATCACTTTTGAGAAGAAAAAAGTTTAAAATTTTAATTATGAAATTATTATTGGTATTTATTGGCTAAATTGTGCCAAATTTATTATCAAATATGGTACCTGATATTTTCAAAGTCTAATAAAATAAAAACTAGACGGTAAAAGTTTTTTATATTTGACAAGTGCAACCAATATACTTTTAAGAAAATTTATGCAAACTTTGAAAACAGCCCCTGATTTGAGTAAATTTTAGGAATAATTTAAATATGGCCCTCCAAGTAGAAAAATGATCAAA